GGGTGGCGTGGTGGGTGGCCGGCGGCGGGGGTGGCGGGGACGAGGGGGGTGATTGGCCGCCTGGCATGTCGCTGGATGACGCTGTCGGGCTCAGTGTCGGCTGCACAGTCAGCGTTGAGTCATCTGGCCGGGCGCCAAACGGCAGCGAGCCTCCGGCCGCCGCGGCGCGCGCCCCGGGCGGATACCACTACGGCCGCGGCGGCGGCGGCGGCGGCGAGGATACTGGCGGCGGCGACACGTGGTGGCGGTTCGAGTGCGGGCCGATATGGGAGGATGCGGAGGGGCAAGACAGCGGCGGCGGCAGTACCAAAAGCAGCAGCAGCAGCAGCAGCAGCAGCAGCGCGCCCGTAGCTCAGGCAGCAGCAGGCCCTACCAAACCCGGGCCGAACGCCGCCGCCGCCGACGCGGCGCCCGACGGCCCCGCCCGCCCCGCGTCGGGGGCACCCCGGCTGCAGGCAGGCGCGGCGGCGGCGGCGCCGCGAGCGGAGCCGGGGCTGCCGCTCGCGGCGTGCGGGCCGTTTGTGCGGGGGCCGCCGTTGGTGGTCGTTCTGGAACGGGTGCAGTCGGGGCTGTTGGGCGCCGCCCTCAGCAGCATCGGCATCACGGGGCTGTACATATCCTTTGTGTTTGCCCTCGGCCGCTTCCTCCGGCTGTCGTTTTCGAATATCCGACAGAGGATTCCCTACGAGGAGTTTGGCAGCACGCGGCGCGTGCTGGCCATGGTGCAGGTGCGCGCGTGGGTGTGTGGGCGTGTGTGCGTGCGCGCGTGATCGAGGGGAGGAAGGGCGTGGTATGTATGCGCGGGGCCGATGGTAGGGTGCGCCCGTCGCGCATGCTCGCGTCGTCAAACGGCCGTTGACGCCGACGGCCGCAACTGTCACAACTGCCATAACCGCCATAACCGCCAGGACATCTACCTGGCGAGGGCTGAGGGTGAGCTGGAGCTGGAGGAGGAGCTGTACACCGCCCTCATCAAGGTGCGTGGGGGTGATGTCATGTGATGTCATGCAATCATGATGTGTTGTCACATGTAGCAGCCACGTCGCGTCTGCAGGCTGTGAGTCAAACAGGGCGCCGCTGGCCTGCGGGTTGGCCAGCGCTAGTTCCAGATGCAGCATTTCAGTACACGGCAGCAACGCGTTTCCCCATTTGCGCTTCATCCATCCAATTTCATCGGCATGCATCGATGATTTCAGGTGTACAAAAGCCCTGCACTGCTGCAAGAGCTCACGCGGCCGGGCGACGACGACCTGCCGCGACCGCGCGGCGGCGGCGGCGGCAAGCGCAAGCGACTGTGATGGCGGTGGCGGTGGCGCGATGCACGGGCACACGGAAGAGCAGCGCGCATGCGCCCCTGGCCTGTTGGCGCCGCCGCAAAATCCGCCTGGCTGCGAAGGGCCAACAACAGGGACGTGCGAGGGTGTTGCCAAGTGGGGGCTTGATAGGGTCCAGGGATCTGAAGCTGATGGGATCTTTTGAAGAGCTTCGCGCGGAACTGTGTGCCTGCGCAGCTACGATGCTGAGGATCCAGGTTCGATTTGGGGCAATCCTGTCCTTTGTTTTGGGCGCAAGCTCGTGCCGTGCTCTGTGCAGGGTCCTTCCTTCCTCTCCCTCAATTATGCGCGGAGCAGCAGCTGCATCCCTCGTATGCTGCATGGCTGCACTGTAAAGCTCAGATGGCGCGCATCCGTGCGCATGGCGCCCTCCAACAGTACAGAAGCCTCAGCCACGGGGGCAGTCTGTGGCACACAGCGCGGCTGGCAGCACAGAGAAGTCTGCAGCCCACTGCCACCTGCAAGCAGACGTTTAAATGCTCTTATGTTCTTCAGGTCAACATGATGTCAAGTGTTTCTGGTCACGGCAGCACCACTCGAGGTCTTGCCTGATACGCAGTTGCCGGCCCTGCTGTGTGTGTCACTGACGCCGCTGCTCGGCAGGCGAGCGCCAGCCCTTGCGTCACCGGTTTGTCGGCGTACATGCCCGGCACCCAATTTCGATGGGCCATCTCGAGACGGACATCGGCGAGTTTTGGCTTTTTATAACTTTCAAGCTAGCGTAGCCCGCTCCAATCGCGAAAACCTTCGATTCGGTTTGCGGCGGGTGCTTGATTGATCTGCACCGCACCCCTCTCGGACCATTCTCAGTGAGCCATACGTTTCAGTAGAGTAGGATCACATTGCTTTGACTGATGTTCGTCTTCTGCAGCCAGCACCAAGTCGATCTTCGCCATTGACAATGGAGGACGCGAGCTCCTTGGTGCTGGGCCACTACCTGAGGGCGCGTGGTGCCCCTGGACTTGGCGATGCTGTGACCAGCTGGTCCACACCCCTTTTCAAGGCCTTGTGCCGTGACGATCTCCGGTCTCTGGAATTGCTGCTGCCTGCCGACCGCACGGGTGTGTAGGCTCGGCTCCGATCGCGTAATCTTGGTTTTATGATTTTGTTACGACGCTCGGTTGCGCGCATGAGGCCGCGGGCCGGACAGTGGCTCACTGGCAGCCCCACCCCCCCTGGCCCAACACCACCCCCACACCAGACGAGGAGTACCTGATACTCTGCTGGGGTACCGATCCTGGAGGTCAGCAGGATGTCGAAGGCAAGGACCAGGCGCAGGGGCAGGGGAGGCCCGTAACAGTGGCGAGGATTCGGCTCATTCACATTGCTGCGTTTCACGGCTCCATCCGCTGCGCCAGCCTCCTGCTGTCGCGCGGGGCGAATCCAGGACTCAAAACTACGGATGGATTGAGCGCCTATGACGTGAGTTCGGCCTTGGGGCCATGCCGGGCGGCCCGCGCTGCTGCCAGCTTGCAGTGCACTGGCGCGCATTTCTAGGCCCAGAGGGCCCCAATCCCCCTTGGTCCTCGCCTACACAGGCTGCATACGCAGGGCCTTGCCTTTTAGGCAAAGCGGGGTCCCTAACTTCCTTCCAGCCGCCCGGGATGCGACCAACCACCCCCAACCACCACCCGCACCCCTGCAAACCACCCTCACCTCGCCCCTTGGCCTGCGCCAGTTTGCCGACCTGTGCACCAGCCCGCACGCCCCCACGCTCCGCGCCATGCTGGGAGACGCCGCCGGGAACTTCTCAGCGGACGGCCGCAGCCGCAGCCCAGGCGGTGGCGCCGCGAAGGGCGGCGGTGGCAGCAATGAGTGCCAGGTGAACACCATCAGCCAGGCCCAGCTGGCAGGGCCCCGTGTCGTGACCGGGCGCGCCAGCTCGCGGCGAGGGCAATGGGCCTTGATCAAAGCAGTCCTTTGCGCTTCAATCGTGTCCGCGCGGCTGACTTTTGTTCCCGCCTGGTTGACTGCCCTGGCCCGAGGTCGGCTTGCAAACACCAGGCGCGCACACCTCCCTTCCCCGGGCCCTCCCGCGATGCACGCCTTGCCACTCTTGACCCTCATCACGCCCCCCGCCCATCCCTCGACACCAAAACCCACCTGCCCTCTAGAACGGCGGCGGCGGCGAGGAGTGCTATGCGCCAGGCGAGGCGCCGACCTACAGCACGGCAGAGCTGACCCGCCCAGAGTACTCAACCGACGCCTTCCGCCTTTTCTGTGGGTCGCACGCACGCGCGACTGCATGTGCACGCTTTGCGACCACGCGTCAGCGCCAAGCTTTGGTTGTTCTCTGTTGCCAGGTCTGGCCGGGAAGACAATTTCCCGCGTTGCTGCTGTGGAAGTCGCAAAAGCGCCTGCTCCAGCGGGCACATGTTCAGAGACAATACCGATGATTCACGTCAGGCATGAGCGCATGGCTTGGAATGGGCGTGCAACCCGCCATGTGTGCGTGGTGAAGGTACTCGTGTCGCAGCACGGTGCGCCACCAAGCCTCCCGGGCACAATCAATGCAGGCCTGCCTACTGCCTCCCCGGCACCGGTCCCGCGGCGCGCCAACACAGGCACCCCAAACGCACACCCCCGCCTGAAATCCAAGGTCCCCCGGCACCCCCTGCAACACCCTTACACACACACACACACACACACACACACACACACACACACAC